GCCTAAAGCCCATTTGAACTGAGCTGATTTGATCAGTTAAATAGGGGGCAAATTCTGAGATTAGATTAGCATATAGGATTGGGTCTTAACCCTATCCACTCAGAGAGTCCAGATCTAAATGTGATCCAAATCTGGAAACCTCCTAATAGGATTAGGAGGGGGCTGATCTAATCTGTAGATAAGACAAGAATTTACCCTTATCACTTAAAGGGAATTCTGATCCAAATATGATTTGGATCAACAACTCCTAATGGAATTAGGAGTTGATCCCTTTAATCTTATTAAAGGAGGAGTGGGTGGCAGCCTTTAGAAGACAATTCATATTCACATCCTCTTCAGAGCTGAAACCACAGAAGAGAGAATTCAACATCACTACGCTAAATCTCTCTTGCCGCCTCCTTCCTGCCGCCGCCAAATCTGTCAGTTCAATCTCCTCTTGTCAGTAGGAGTGATCAAGATTAGATCTTGATATCAGTCCTTTGTGAAAGGGCTGATTGGAAGAAGTGCTCACGTGCCGTCCAACTGATACTTGCGAAGGATCTGGTTCTTTTGAAGAACGCTACTGAATTTACTCCATCATGCACTGCGTCATCTTCAGTGATAGCAGTTTTTGGTTCCTTCCTTGGGCGTGAACACCTCCATCGGGAGATATTATTTCTCCGTATCAGGTATATCTCTCTTCTACTGCTTTTGTTTAGATCTGGTTCAGTTCTTGGTTCAAGATTGATCCTTGAAAAATATGATTTTTCTAAAATAGGGAATACGATTCCCAAGAGGATGGAGAGAAATTTTTGAAATTCGCCCATTCTATTCCGCAAGATTTGGGCGTCCATACGATGGATATCTCATCCCTCCAGTGGTATCAGAGCTAGGTTTAAGTCTTGAACCGAATTGGATCAAATCTGAACCTGCGCAAATGGATAGAAGGTGTTCTACCCGATTTGCGCAGTTATAGGGTTTTTCTGGAAAACTTCTTTCCAGTTAATGGGCGATTAATTTGAAATTAAATTTTATAAATCTGATTATTATTTAGAACTGTTTTTTATAATTTTCTTGATTTATGGGCTGTTCGTACACATGGAGATCGAAATCTTGATTGGCGCAGGTAACCTGTGATTTTGTAGTTTCTTGATTATTTTATTACATTTGGTCTGTAAAATATTTTTTTTTATTTTTTTCGACTGAATGTATAGGCATTCTATCTGATGTAATTGTAATAGAAATTATGTTTTCTATTTATTTTATTTTGGATCGAAGATGGCAGCACAAAGAAGGAGATTTCGTAGATGGAAAAATCGTTGTCTGCGATTTGCAATTTATGAAACTGCAAACTGTGATCTAACCTCTGTTTTGTAGGATGGATTGTGCGAACAGCCCTATCTGACTGATTCTTATTGTTCTTTTATTAGCATTTAATTTCAGATTAATTTCTTGAATTAAATCTTTAATTAAAGATCTAACCCTAGACCCATTGGAACTAGATTGGTCCAAACTGGTTGGACCGAATCTAGGGTTCGATCAAGGCTGAATGTCAACCCTATTTCTCCCACTAATGGGCCTAAGGATTGATAATTAATTGAATGTTTAATTCAGCCCAACCTGTAAAGGCCTAGTTTTAAATTGTTAAAACTGCTAAAAGCCCTATTCGCAGATAAAGCTATATGGGCCGAACTGTTCAACCCTAATTTGGCCCATATACCTAGATAATATTAATGGTTAAAATTATGAATTAAAAATGGGCTTTACAGATATTAATTGATTGGATCAATTATTTCCTGCATGTGATGTATGGATGTGCGATGTGCTACGTTTATAGGCCATAAGTGCTTGGCCCATGCTGATTCAATAGTGGCTCTTGCGCACACCATGGCTGAATGCACATCATTTCATGGTGTCCTTGCTGGTCATTGGATGACCTCCCTTAATGGTGGGCCCCACACCTCCTAAAGAGGAAATATGCAGAACCCTAGCCGATTTGGGCCCACTAAAATCAGGCTTTATTAAAGTCAGTGGGAGCCACTTTGGTTTGACCTAAATCAAAGTAGGGCATAATTTTTCGTTCCCTCCAACAAATATGAGTGCATGTGATACGGAGATTCATATGATGAACTCTTTAAAGGCCTTCCATCATTAGCATGAGGATGGGTCCTTCAGTAATGAGGAAACGCACCAGAAAATGGGCTATCCATTTGCTGTTGGGCAAGTCTGAGTGTTTCATAAGATGATAGGGGTGTCATAGACCGACGTGGGAGGGGCTTCACCAGAAAATGGAAACTC